AAATTCAAATTTTTGACAAGACAATTCAAATTTAAAAAAAATTTGTTGTTGCGTGCACGCAAGCTATTGCTTCCGTGCACGCCATTTGTGTGCAGGCAGCTAAAGAGCTTCTTGTACAGAACTAAATTTGTAGCTGCCTGTACAGGCAGCTTTGTAGCCACCCACAGGCAGCTACAAAAATTGTAGCTGCTTGCTGTGCAGGCAGAATGCAGGCAGCTTTTATTTTGAATTCAAAAAATATATTTTTTAACTAATAAATACTAGACATGAGCCATTTCGGCTCGCTTTTATTTTGAATTCAAAAAATATATTTTTTTAACTAATAAATACTAGACATGAGCCATTTCGGCTCGTGTGGCTCGGCGAGTCACACAGGCCGCTGCCCCAAAATGGGGCTCGGTTCGATCGAACCGGGCCCGGCTCAGGCTCTTTACGAGTCGAGCCCGAGCCCCCAAGCTTTTTTGCCACCGCTACACGTGCCTGGCCAAATTTCACAAGTAAGCAACATGAAGATGTATTGTTAACAGGAGTTGTTCAAATTACTTGTTGTTTTCTTATACAAACTCCTTTCGACATATCCGGTACAACGCTTCAACGGCCTAGAGTTTGATAGACGGGTTAATTAAATACTTTACCATTTATCTAAACAATAAACTCCAAAACGCTTTGAGGCTTGGTTCAAGGTGAACCAACGGCTTGCAAGATTCGATCTGCCGGAGTTCGCATTGATTACTGGCTTGAAGTGCGGTGACTTACCTAAAGAGTTGGCTCCCGATAAAATCATCGGGAAAAAGTAGTTACTTTACAATGTTGGCGTAGCATGGTATTGTTTTTTGGAAAAAGCATTGACGTTTATCGTTTTGTTTACCATCAGTAGGCATATATTTTGGTTGATAGCATAGTGCTTAGTGTTGATGTATAAATGACATGGACAAAATTGGGCATTTTGTCATTCAGTTGAATGCATGATGTTCAGGTCTCACATTATCTGTACATTTACAAACTGTCATTCCAAACAGTTGAAATGTCAAGTGACGAGATTGACAGGTATTTAATGTTTAGAAGACGTATCAAATGTCGAGAAAATTGTATGAAATGTAGAAAAATTTCGTGTTTCGGACGAAATGTCGTTCTAGACAAATGTAATGTCACGTGTCGAGGTGATCCGAATATAAAGGACGATAACAACTTTTCAAGTGTCGAGAAATGCATGAAATGTCGAGAAAAAGGAATTGGAAAACACGTACATGTCAACCATACAACAATTAACTGGGCTTTAATATGAAATTACTAGCATTAACAACTTCCTTGAATCCATTGTGTCTTCAACAATCAAAAAAACTCCTCATACCACAAGTACATAGTCTACACCCAATGATGTGAATGAAGTGTCAATTAAATGTAAATAGAAATTGGTGGGAGTTGGTGTGATTAATTTTTGATGAATTGAACAACACGTACTCATCCACTATAAAACATTGGCCTTTGCTTGAATAAGAAATGACAAGTATTAATTAGTTCTTCCTTGCATTGATTATGTCTTCCTCCACCTAAGAAACCCCCTATATCACAAGTACATAGTGTGCACCCACTGATATGAAAGAAATGTCAATCAAACGTAAATGGAAATAGGTGGAAGTTTGTGTGATTAATATTTCATGCATTGAACAAGACGTACTCATCCACTATAAAACATTGGTCTCGGCTTGAATATGACATTACTAGCATTAACAAGTTTTTACATTAATTATGTCTTCATCCACCAAATCTGTTAACTTCTCCCCGCCCGGATCGTCCGCGGACAACCTGTTCGTCATCGACTCAGAAGATGATGAAGATGTCAATATTTTTGTTCCATATGATCCTCAACCGGGGAATCGTCGCCGTAGGGTAAGCCTTCATCCCATTCCATTACCGGATCTAAATGAAGAAATTGAGCCGGTCGAAGTGGGAGTGGTTTTGATGAAGATGTCAATATTTTTGTTGCATATGTTCCTCAACCGAGAAATCGTCTTCGTAGGGTAAGCCTTCATCCCATTCCAGTTCCGGATCTAAACGAAGAAATTGAGCCGGTCGAAGTTGGAGTGGGTGATCGTATCGTCGATCGTGAGATCGTCCAGTAGAAGTCCCACCAGAAGTACACCACGTACTGTTTGATGATAATGTCGGAGCGGTTCCCGTAAGAAATGAAGATGTGATCATAATAAGCTCAGACGACGAGGATGAAGTGAGATGTCCTCTTTGTCCGTTGTGGAAGATATGTAGAAGATGCAATCGTCGTATGTGAAATGTTGAAATATATCTAGTGACATAAAAATCCATATGGGTAGTGGGTAGTTTTTTGTGGTGATCACCATTTTGTATATGTATTGACCTACAACATGCAGACAGTTATTGCATGCTTTTGTTGTGATTACCATTTTGTATGTCCAGTGACATGAAAACGAGTCATTCATGGCTTCTTTCGTATTCGTTACCAAATTCAATATACAATCATGATGAAAATTCTAGCCATGGAGTAATTAAAGGAAACCCATCCGATTAATACACTAAGAAAATAAAAATTGGAAACAAATAAGATAGAAAGCATGTAATGCATCAAAAAAAAATTTCAAAACACTGATAATCCATGTTAGCAAGCTCTTCACCGTTTCACCAAGTATTCCGGTTGGGTTTGTGCAAAAAAATGAAATAAAATTGAAAGTTAAAGAAAGAATTATCCAATAATCTGATTCAACATATAGTACCCACCTTTTCCCAGTTAAGAAGAAAGATATTCCGGTTGGTTACCTCCATCTTCTCCCATTTATCTTAGATTCACAGATTTACCATACAGTACCCAAAAAGAAAAATGAAAAATTGATTGTAGAGGAGCCTCCATCTTCCTATATGTTCTCTCAATCTCTTGGTAGGAATGGGTTAGTTGTTTAGTAGTAGGTTTCACTGTATTTTATTTGGGCCCATTTCATTTTTATTTTATGTTTAGTTGTATATTGGCCCATTTAGTGTCAATTTCATGAGAAATGGGTATTATAATAATTATTGAAAGTTAAATAATAAATAATAAAATTACTCTTTTACTTGATATAAAATTCTAATAGGATATATATTATTATACGAATTTTTAATTTAATTAAATTATTTTCGGTTTGACTCTCTGACCCTTTACCCTCTCTCTTTTTTCTGGGTCAATGTCCGAATCGATTTTCAAAACATTGCTAATAAAGAGTTAAACACTTAAGAGGAAACATAAAGTTGAACCTTGAATCATTTATTCCCAAGACTACATGCTTGTTTGGCTACATTATTTAAAATAAGAATCATGCTACAAGTACATTAACTTTGACATTGTGCCACTTGTTAGAACATGATTGGACAGTTTTTAAACGTCACACACTTTCTCGCCCATTTGTATTTGAATTCACATGGAGTGTCAAACCCCATGTGAACCCTGGAAAGTACAACAAATCAAATTCTTAAAATAACTACACATTATCATGCATTTATTGATCACAATTTTCAATTAGCTATTATTATTTATTCTAAATTATAGATAATTTCCTTGTTGAAATATAGTGATTTATTAGTTCTCGAATATGTTCCTATTCAATGTCATTTATTATTAAAAAATATGAACTACTCTTATTTATTCAATGTTTTTGTATATTAGAAAAATGATAGTAAAATTTATTTTTCCAACTAAATTAATTATGTTTTCTTAATCGATGTGAAAATGGAAGTAAATCTATTTTTATGGGAAGGATGAAGTATAATTCTTTACATGAAATTGGATAGATATTGAAAGAGGTGGAGATTTATTAATGGAGACAAGATAGAGTAATTCAACAACTAGGAATAAATAACTCTTGACATTGTAAAAACATGGATTAAAAGTTTGAATGGAAATAAGTTTGCTTATTTCAGCAACTTGGAATTAATATTTCTGAGTTGATGAGAACAGTTGACTTTTTTTTATTTGCTTTATCTCAATAGACCCCTGTGCAATGTGGAATAAAGTAATATTTCATGGAGGTTTATCTTGGAAGGCTACATGAATGAGTGCGAGGAAATTTTATCATTTTCTTCTAATAATTTATTTTAAAATCTCAAATTTTATAATCATAAAAATCGGTGTTTATCATGGAATCACATCATTAACATATCATTGTAAATTTTAATATTAAATTTCATAAGATAATACTATATATCGGTTGTGGCAAGTAGAAAGCTCCAGATGGGATCAGGCTCAACGATATACAAATACTACATTTTTTCTACCAATGTTTATATAATCCAACTATATATTCTAAAAACATTTCTAGACCATTTTGATCAAGAGAAGGATGTATTTTAAGTAGAACTTTGTATTCATCTTTTTTGCAGAAGGACCAAACAATACAATGTTTAAGTTGGTTTGCTGTATGCGGGAAGGGACAAGTCAAGAAGATAATTGTTGTATATATGATTATATCTATCATAATTTGATGAGTAATTCATGAGTAATATACGTGCTTTGTTTGAACAGGAGACTACCTTTTGAACGTATGTCATTCTTTTACATATTTTGTGGTTCGGCACCCTCACCAATATATTGGACACATACCGAAATGGGAAATAACACTTTGAAGGAAACATAAAGCTGAACGTTGAATCATTTATTCCCAAGATTACATGCTTGTTTGGTTGCATTATATAAAATAACTACACATTCTCATGCATTTATTGAACAGTCTTCAAATAACTATAGTTAATTACATAAACACGTGACAGAAAAATAATTCACAATTTCTTTCTGTGTGTCTCTTGAAACAGGTCATCTACTGAGCAGGATTACAGCTTCCCTTGCCTTCTTCATGCCTTAAAATAATTGACAAGATAATCCTCATGAATACCATTAGTAAAAAACTTCATTACATAGTTTACTGAGAAGGATTACAGCTTCCCTTGCCATCTTCATGCCTTGAAATAATTGAGAAGATAATCCTCTTGAAGACCACTAGTCAAAAACTTCATTACATAGTCACTTAATAGTACGTCTCTGTATATGGGTGGATTTTCTTCTGATATCAACTCTTTAATGGGGCCATAAGAAATCTTTTCCATGCCTATAGGTCCCGAGAAAAAACATGCTAGAGAAATTCTTGGCCCAAGACGATCAGCAAGCACTCTATGCTTGATGCTTCTGAATATGCCATTTGATACCAGCTATACCAAAAGTTATCAAATAGAAAACTTGAGTAAATTGATATGAGCTAACATCTCAAGCAAAATCACATGATCAGCTACTTCTGAAACTGAAATTTTCCTTTAGTTTTGTATTAGGTAACTGAAATTTAAAAATAATAAACTTAATGGTTTCAACTCTAGATCAGCTTTTCCCTATAACAATCCAAGATTTTCCTTTAGTTTTTTATTAGGTAACTGACATTTAAAAAAAAAAAAAAAGGGAAATGTAGCCAACTAAGCTGGTAAAAAAAATGGTTAGGAGGCTAAACTGAAACTTCGATATATACCTGGAGAAGATCCCCAATGTTAATTACTAGCCCTGCAGGAATAGGTTGAACATCTACCCATTGGTTTTGGAAGAAAATCTGGAGGCCACTTTGATTTTGTAGAACAATGGTGAGGAATCCAGTATCTGTATGCTTTGTGGTTCCCAGAGTCAGTTCTGGTTCAGGGCATGCTGGATAATAGTGGCAGTGAAAGCGGTGTCCTTTAGAGCAGTCCATGTTTCTTAGGTGCTCAGAGTCGAGTCCAAGAGCCTCCGACAAAATTCCAAATAGAATGTTTCCCAATTTTTCTACATGTTTTGAGTACTCTAAAGCTGACTCCCTGTGAATAAAAGGTATAGACGGGCAAATCAATTTCTTTTGTGCATATAGCAAAGTAAACGTATAGTTTAGTAGACAAAATTGGATAAAGCTCAATGGTATAAAAGAAGAAAATATTTTTAACTCGTTCATTGTAGTGTCATGTTGTGTCCACCCACATAACATGGAAAGTGCACTGTTGCTAACTTATATTCATTTTCATCAAGTAGCAGAGAAAAGAAGCAAACTTATAAACAGGCAACGTGCGTATACAAATTTATAGAAATTGAACAATCCTAATATGAGAACTATGTATGCTTGTTGCGGGTGTTTACTGTAATGGTACAAAGAATCTCACACTTCTCCCAAAAATAGCCTCCTCTAAAAATTTTTAATATGGTAAGAATATTAGGAGTAATCCAATAAATGGACACCCCAACATATAATTGAAATAACAGAGTTGATATGTAGTCGAGAAGATAAGTTAACGCTACTATTTAGTTTCAACGCAGGCCAACAGGGTGTGTCATGGGGTGTGGTGGGGTGTTAAGGAAAGCAGCCATAAAAATATATACCTGCATGAATCTGGAAACTCCTTGGAATCAATTTGTTCAGGATCTGAAAATGAAATACTCAATGTGTCCCTCCAGTTAGCAGTCCTCGATGTGAACAAATCATAGTTGCTGTTAAATCTCACTCGTCTCGTGTTATCCCGCGTGTAGTATTTCTTTTTCACTTCAATATCCTGCTCATAGAATTTCTGTATTCCATCAAGCATTTCATCAAGCACTTTTAAGGGAATCCCATGATTCACTACCTGAAAAAACCCCCATGTTTCTGATGCAATTCTTACTTCTTCTACAATCTGTTTACGCCGGCCTGCTTTCTCCAGACCACCCATATCAATCACAGGAACTTCAATTTGAGCCCTCTTGTAATTCAACTCTTCCTCCAGTTCTTCATTTGGCCTTACAAAAATCTTGGGAATTTTTTGCAATCCGGCATCAACTAATCCCTTTACACCAGCTTTTGTTTCATCAAAAGCCTTCAATTCTTGCATTCTATCATATTCTTGGGCACCTGAGGCATCCATTGTTTCTGCCATTAGATGCAAATTATGGGTGAATGGCCACTGTTTGATCCTTGCACTATATATCAAGAGAACCGTGCTAGATGGCCGGCCATACGAGAGGGACGTGAAACTTATGTTAATCGTACATTTAGCTTTATTGATATCAAGAAATTTGACTGCTTAAAATATATAATTTTTTATACTGAAACTGGATAGATATTATAAAAGGTGAGGATTTCTTAATGGAAACAAGATAGCATAATTCAACAACTAGGAATTAATAATTCTTGATATTTTAAAAAAAATGGATTAAAAATTTTGAATGATTATAAGTTAGCTTATTTCATCAACTTGAGAGTTGTCGAGAACAATTGACTTTTTTTGTTTTTGTTTTCTCTGTCTCAATTGGCACATGTTAAATGCCGAATAAGAAAATACTGTAGGCATGTTTATATTGGAAGGCTACATGACTGGAGGGGAATATAATTCTCTTTCTTTCTTTTTTTTTTTTCCTAATAATTTACTTTTAAATTTAAATTCTATAATCGTAAAAACCTGGAATCACATTTTTAAAACTCCTCGTTTAACATATTATTGTACACATGGGCAGACCCAGGGGGTCCAGGGGGCTCGTGCCCCACAATTTTTGAGTTTATATATATATAATCATGTTTTGTATTGATTGAAATATAAATTTTAATTTAAATCAAAGTTAAAAATTAATTTTAATAACATATTTTATGAAACCCATAACTATTTAACTTTTATCAAAATTTGATTTTAATCTCCATCAAACGGGCAAAATCACAATAAATTTTAATTTTTCTCTTTTTCTCTCGTCTTTTAATAAAATCTTCACTGTCCATCAAACAAGGATAAAGTATTGCATTCTTAATACTACTACGAAATGTTTACAGTCTAGTTTTCTACGTCATTAATGATGTACGAAACGATCAATCGTAGCAAATGCTACGACTTGTCGAAGTAAGTCATTTAAAATCAGTATTTCGAAAATTTCGATAATATACTAACTTTAAAAAATTTTCGACAATTGTACGCTAATCGAATTTAAAAATTGCTTATGTCATTTCAAAACTTATTTTTTCTCTCGTCTTTTAATAAAATCTTAATTGTCTATCAAAAAAGGATGAAGTATTGCATTCTTAATACCACTACGAAATGTTTACAATTTGGTTTTCTACGTCGTTAATGATGTACGAAACGATCAATCGTAGCAAATGCTACAACTTGTCGAAGTAAGTCATTCAAAATCAGTATTTCGAAAATTTCGATAATATACTAACTTTAAAAAATTTTCGACAATTGTACGCTAATCGAATTTAAAAATTGCTTATGTCATTTCAAAACTTATTTNGTACGCTAATCGAATTTAAAAATTGCTTATGTCATTTCAAAACTTATTTCAAGAATTACATTATAGGCATATCAAATAATCCAAACAGACATAAAAAATAGTTAAAATGCGTTAAACGTGAGTTTTGAAGCAATAGTTTAACTCGCATTTTCTTTTAAAAAAATTCAATTATTTCAATTACATTTATTATTTTTGCAATACAAATTTCTCAATATAATTTTCATCCTTTTATTAGAAATTTTTATATGGAATATGACATAAAAAAATTTCGAAATTTTACATCTGAAAAGTCATATCTCATGTAAATTTTCGGATTCAAAATTAAATGGGGTATGATTTTTTTGGAAGTAAATTTTCTATTGTAAAATTTCTCCCAATTTCTTTGCAAGTTCGACTGTATCCCCTTAACTTTTAAATTCTGCGTCCGCCTCTGATTGTACATTTTAATATCGAATTCCTCAAGATACTATTATATTTTGGTTGTGGGAAGAAGAAAGCTAGGAGCAATTACTTCACATTATTTAAATGAGACATTATGATAGAGAGAAGACTGATTATTATTTTTAAAAATGGGACACTAGATGTTATTGTGAAGAACATGGAGATGATAGAAAATAATATGTAACAACAAAGATTCATCATGAAGAAAGATGCATCGGGAAGGTAAAGGAATTGAATCCAATTGAATATGAAAATTAGAAACAAGTGACCACGAAGGCGGAATACAAGACTTGCCATTTGGACGAGACATATTGCAGAAGGAGATCTTTACTCTTTCCTTGTCCCAAGACTGATCAATTGATGGATAGAGGCTCATCTTGTGTCTAATATTCTAATCTGAAAGGAATCATGGGATAGGATTCAAAGATATACAAATGCCACATTTTTCTACCAACTTTTATACAATTCAACTTCATACATTCTCACTGCATTTTGGGATCACTTAGATCAGGAGAACGATGTATTTTAATGATAGTGAAAGCGGTGTCCTTTAGAGCAGCTAATGTTTCTTAGGTGCTCCGAGTCGAGGTCAACAAAATTCCAAGTATACTCTTTCCCTATTTTTCCTTTATGCATGTAGCGAAGTAAAATTTGATAGAGAAGATTGGATAGAACTCAATATTATAAAAGAGGAAAATAAATTGAACTTGTTCATTGTAATGTGTACATAACATGACCTAAGTGCACTAGTTATCCTAAGTTATTATATTCATTTTCATCAAATAGCAGAGAAATCAGAAGCACAATGAAAACTTAGAAACGAGCAAAGGCATATACAAATTTATAGAAATTCACACCTAATATGAGAACTATGTATACTTCTTGTTGTAGGTTTTTACTGTAATGATATAAAGGAACTGACACTTCTCTCAACCTAAATCTTTTAGATATCGTAAGAATATTAGGGGTGGTCTAATAAATGGACTACTCAAAAGTGACAAATCTAGGTGAGCAAGGGCGGCCGTCTAATACAAGGAAAACAATATTTTCGACAAAGCCAGCATGGGTGGAGGCCGCAAGAACTCGTCGAGTACTGGCTCTGCCCCTGCTACCCAACATATTATTGAAATAACAAAGTTGATTTACAATCGAGAGGATAAGTGAACACTATGATGAATAGTGTCAATGAGGAATTGGATGGATAATATAACTTTTCTTGGCAGAAACAAATAACAAAGCTGAATTCATGAGATAAAGCCCTTGACCTCACCAATTTTGTGGCCAAATTCAATCATACAACATTCATATTGAAACTTTTATTGTTCAAGCAAAAAATGATTTTTTATATATTTGTTTCATTATTCTAGTTACTAGGTACTTATTCAATAGTTTTCTTTGTTTAAAATAGTAACTTAGGGATTCTTATTTTCCTTTTGAAAACTAGAATTAGGTTTCATTATCACATGAATGTTTATTTGATAAAATTTGAGAGTTTCTCAAATTTTCCTTTTATTCGACATTCATAGTGAATGAATGAATATTTCATGGCCGGATTTTCGGTATTGAATTAAATCAACAAGTGTTATAATTGCTAATTATCTTCTACATTATTATACTGCATCAATTTGGTATTAGAGTAGAATCAGGTTTCATATAGAGACAAGTGTTGCTTGTGAAATCTAGATGGCAAAAATCATTCAACGCTGTGAGATGGAAAAATTGCATCAACAATTAGAGGTGATGAAGTAGCTAAAAAAGGATTTTCTATCACAACAGTTTTACTATTATAGATGCATAGAGGTTGACAATACAATACAAGAGGACTCTGATGGTCAAGGTAAATTTTTTTGCTTCCTTCAATCCTGATTTGTGGGACATTGATTTAAGCAATGAGTATGACATTCTATTGTTTACACTCGACGAGAATGTTCAAGAGGATTATATTGAAGAAAAACAAGTAATTGTATATATTAGTGGCATACCTATGTCAGTAATACGAGTTTTTTTGGATAGTTCACCATTGACTGCATATTCAGATCGAAAATTAGTAATTGGCAAATATTGTCGAGGAATTTGGTTATCTAAAGGTGTTAGGTCTTTACTGTTGACGATTCTGTGAACAAAATGACTGATTTGTAACGTGTTGTTTGTCAAGGACATAGGGTGCAATTTGTACAAATTGGTTTATGAGGTCTAAGGTTCGAGCATGAACAGAGAAAAAACACAACGTCGCATTTTCACTAGCTTCTCGCCCAGTTGGCACTCGAACGGCAAAATCAGATTGCCTTTCGCCCGCCCGTCGCTCCTGTTGTCGCTTATCCTCGAGCGATAGGTCGACCCAGAAAACCTATTTTGCTGTTTTGAAGTGTTTTTCCAGCCCATTCAACCTAATTACCGTCTCTTATAAATACCCAAGCATATGCACGAAAACAAGTATGGTCGTTCATTGTGCATGTTCTCTATTACATATTCAAGAGCCTATTCATACATTGATTTTCATTATCACATGAATGTTTATTTGGTAAAATTTGAGAGTTTCTCAATTTTTCCATTTATTCGACATTCATAGCAAATGAATGAATATTTCATGGCCGGATTTTCGGTATTGAATTAAATCAACAAGTGTTATAATTGCTAATTATCTTCTACATTATTATACTGCATCAATTTGGTATTAGAGTAGAATCAGGTTTCATAGAGAGACAAGTGTTGCTTGTGAAATCTAGATGGCAAAGATCATTCAACGCTGTGAGCCGGAAAAATTGCATCAACAATTAGAGGTGATGAAGTAGCTAAAAAAAGATTTTCTATCACAACAGTTTTACTATTATAGACGCATAGAGGTTGACAATACAATACAAGAGGACTCTGATTGTCAAGGTAAATTTTTTTGCTTCCTTCAATCCTGATTTGTGGGACATTGATTTAAGCAATGATTATGACATTCTATTTTTTACCCTCGACGAGAATGTTCAAGAGGATTATATTGAAGAAAAACAAGTAATTGTATATATTAGTGGGACACCTATGTCAGCAATACGAGTTTTTATTATGAATAGTTCACTATTGAGTGCATATTCAGATCGAAAATTAGTAATTGGCAAATATTGTTGAACAATTTGGTTATCTAAAGGTGTTAGGTTTTTAGTGTTGGTGATTCTGTGAACAAAATGACTAATTTGTAACGTGTTGTTTGTTAAGGACA